GTCCGATCTCAAAAAAAAAAAAAAAAAAAAAAAAACAAAAAAAAAAAAAAAAAAAAGGGAGAGAGAGAGAGAGAGAGAGAGAGAGAGAGAGAGAGAGAGAGAGAGAGAGAGAGAGAGAGAGAGAGAGAGAGTTGGATTGGCAGTCTAACTCAGAGCCTGCAGTTTGGGAAAATGAGGGCCTTGGGGTTTCGATAACAACACTGGTGAGTATGCTCTCTGTCACACATTTCATTATGGAAACAAAGGGTGGATTGGCAGGAGTAAATTGTTCTCCTGTAAAACCACCTGTTTCATACGAGCTTAAGTCTACGAAGCTCCTGCCAAGGCTCGCGAGCCTGCAAGTGCGCCTTTGCAAACTGGTTTACCACTGAGCTACCGGAACAGGCCCTAATTGAAAAGTTCTTACCATGTATACCAGTAAGAGCTGTACTCTGCTTTGTGAATCGGCAATTTAACAAAGCAAATCATATCTAAGCCGATCTCCGAAACAAGTATGAGCCAGCTTTCCAGAACAGTTCCATTCGATAAACAGAACGCTTGGACCGGGGTAGCCCTTAGCAAACGTAATTGGTTGTGTCCGATCAAATTCCATTGGCATTAAAACTCATCATCTGCGTACCATTGCGCCAAAAGGGCTTTGTGAGACCAGGCACCCTACATTCTCTGGATACCTGAAAGGTCTCATCCCTCACATCCACTCAGTGCCAGAGAATGGTGCACTGCATGCTGCTGAATACAGCGACTGGAGGGACAAAAAAAAACTATATCCCTGGGTAAGCTACCCATGATCCCAACTCTCTGGATTTCCTGACCACCTGTCGCCGCGACTTGTGGAGTCCGAAGAGACTTTGAAGAAATTCTTTTGGAGGTCAGTCGTTCACTGGAATCCAATCCTTCTCATATCTCAAACCACCAGTTCCTTAGAAGCCCCAAGGACCCACAGGCATTTCTCAGCGTCCTACAGTTCAGGAGCTCACGTGCCAACCAGCAATACCACATCAACAATGGCCAATGGATGTTTTTGTTCCAGAAGATTTTGGCCATGGTCAATTGGAAACACAGAAGGCCGTGAGGATGGTGGTTTAAACTCATACAGTCGTACTCCATAAAACAGGCCCAGAAGGACCAACAAGTATTCCAGCGGCTGCAGTTTCATTCAGTGCACAGGTTCCCAGATGGAGCACTCTCCAAAGCTGGCCTGACCAGTGTGAACGGGTTAAGTACCGGTGGTGGGCTGCGTGTAGTCCGAGTGGAGTGTGCATGGATTGTCGAGTCCGTGGTGTGGTGTGTGTGTGTGGTGTGAGTTCAAGGACGCTGCAGCCCTGGAGGTGGGTTAGATATCACGACCGGTATGGATCCAGTTTTTATAACACCTTGTAGTGGTTACGATACTTCGTTCCTGTGCAGGAGGGTTCCGGTTCGAAGCCGTCCGTGTACGGCAGGGCATGATGCCCTAAACACACGTTGCTCAGTAATCAGAGCTCCTTGCCAACATTCGACAAAGAAGGGACAGTGGGACACTCAAAAATACTAGGAGATGAAAACAAACCCAGAATAGACGAAGTCCATGAAAGAGTGAGATAAACAGGATCGCCCACAGATCAAACTTCCCTGCTTGGGGGATGCTCGGCAGACTCCATTAATAACAACAAACTCTTTTGTTTGTCTAAACAAGTATACATTTTTTTTGCTATTTTTTGAACAGGCAGATTACCATAAAAAACACAACTTTTTAATCGCTTGCAATTTTGTGAAAATTCACCGGCCTTCCTTGTTTTTTTTCGAGCCTTTGAAGAAAAAAAAAAAATCGTTTTTTAGTAAGTTCTTTTTTTTGCCAAACATTTTCCAAGATTTGTTGACAAGTTTTAAATTATGATACGCGCAGTATTTATCTCCATGACCAGTGTTGGACCCCTCGCCAGCCGGCCGCCCTTGACTGGTCGGCTACCGACCCGCCGACCGATCGGCTGGTCGGCACCTACCGGTCGGGGGTAATCGGCACCGCGCACAAAAAAAGGTAAAAAAAAATAATAATAATAAAAAATTGGGGGGGGTCCAGAACCCCTAATAACACCACCAACATCCCCATAGTGGCCCCCAATACCCCCATACACTCCTAAGCAGGGATGTCTGGCGTGTAGTCGTTGAGGGGCGCAGCGCATGTATCAACACATGACTTCCCTACTGATTGTCCGCACCGACACATTTGTCACTTGGTCGGATACTCGGCGGAGCCCCAACACCCCCAAACCACCCCCAAC